TTATAGGTTCACTTAAAGAATTCCCAATTTTTCCTGCGCCAGCAAATACATAATTTATTTTATAACAATTTTTGCAGGTTATGTTGTTTGTAAGTTGCATGAACATAAAACAGAAACAGTAATACGGAATACGCATGCGTCAGATTGATGGTTAGAAGATAATCCTCAAACCATTCTGATAGATTTCGAACAGGTTTGAATCTTGGATGGAACAGAAAACTGATAGTTTACTAATGGTTGGAAACTCACGTTGGAACGCAATCACATTACTGCGCAGAATCCTGACTGTCAGAAACTGTTTCTGACGCTGGTTGGAACGAACATAATATATAAACTATTTCAGATAATAAATAAATAAATAGATCATTACATATATGTAAGCTTCTGAAATACTTAGAGGTAATATACATCATTCTAATATTCCTTTAAGTCATAGTAGGCTTTTTGCAGAAGTACTCCTTTAACTAATTTTCTGTTTTTTTTTATTTGTTGATGCCCTTAAGCTGGGGCCGCACTGCAGGAAGGTTGGTAGGATGGTGGATAGCTGCCTGGCAAACATCCTACTATTTATAAACGTGAGTAACAGATCGACGGTAGCCGCAGTGGTCCCCCACTACCATCTAACCTCCAGAAACCATCCGTAGGTACGCTAGGCGTTTAACCAACCTAATCAGTCGTGTTTGATATTTCAGCTGGGTAGCCTAGCTATGGAGGAAAACGTAATAAGTTCTGTGTACAAAAGAAGGCCAATTTGGGACCCAGCAGACTCATTAAGGAAAAATGTGTGTTTCTTCAAGAGTTTACTTCCATATATGCGGGAATTAAGCCCAGACCATAGTCTGAGTCCGTGGGAAAGTTCAAGACGTTATCTTGAATGAATATGAAAAAATAAATTTGTCTGTGGGAACCCCTCAATTTGGCCACGAGTATGATAGTCGTACCCAGTACTCATCATTGTCAAATACTATTGATGTTTCATGCTTCTTGACGGAACAACAATCATTAGATTCGTATGGTGAAACATCTCCAACTCAACAGCAAGATCCTTTTTTTCATAATATGTAACTCTTTTCTTTAACGTTTATGTTCTAATGTTTAGTTTCAATGATTTTGTTTTTTTATTAAAGAGAGGCATGGTTGTTACTTTTCCGCTATCATTTAGATACTGGCTTCATTTCACTACGTCCAGGATGCATTGCCTCTCCACCATCCACCTTTACCATCCACCCTCCAAGCGACCATCAAGCATCCTGCAGTGCGGCCCCGGGTTCGGTGCTTTACAGAATTCAAGAGTTGACAAACGGCATATGTGTGAAACAATACTGCACTCACGAAAGTTATTGAGGCAAAAACACGTGTCTGTAATTTGTTTTTCTGTGGATGGACCGTTATTACATACAAGCTATGTAATACTTGCAATTTATAGTGTTAGACTTTTAGACACAAATTACCATTTTGAATCATGACAAAATGGAAATGCCCTTATTTAGACTATGTAGAAACACATTTAACAAAGCGTTAGTTCGAAGTTTTTCTAGAAGTAAGCATTCTCATATTGTCATATTGATTTGTCAAAGTGGTAAATGCTTTCGCTGCCNAAACTCAAAAGGAAAAGTTAACACGATTTTGTAATGAAAATCTACTCAGTGAAGAAGCTGTGTTTTTTGTAAAAAATTAATAAAATAAATTTTTTATGGCTATAATTGATTTAGACCATTACAAAATAACCATGCAAAAAAATAAAATGCACTGAATCATTATAAACAAAAAAAAAATGCTCCAAAGCAAAATTTTTAAAGTTATGGAATATAACATTTTGTAATCGCTTGAACTTCGTGTACGAAGGATACAAGTATAAGTTGAGATAATTTCTAGAAAAAGGAAACGACGATATCAGCTAAAAAACGTATTTTTAATCAAAATTTTAGTTTTTATGAGAAATATGAACACCGTTTTCATGTTCATTTTAACTGGTTAATTGCTGTAAAACTCTGTAAATGCTGTCTAGCCTTTGAATTTTTCATCTTTTTTATGCGTTGAGGTAAATAATCATTATTTCTCTCCATTTTCATTTTTTTCAGATTACAGACATTTCACTTATTTATTTCTTCTTATATATTTTTCATTACCTTAACTTTCAAATTAACTCATCCAAATGTTTCAGTGAGTTATTTTTGGTATTCCATTGATTTAATTTATTTTTGATTTTACGTCTTTTTCTTCGAACCTCTAACATTCCACAAAAAAAATCCCAAAGACTTATTAATGTGCCAAGCAAGTGAACACTTATTTTGTACAACTAAAATATTCAAAGTTAATAATAAAATATAAGATACAGAAAAGCAAAATGA